ATATATATATATATAAGAATCACTCTGCAATCTGATTCGCAAGTGGTTATCTTGTGAGTGAAAAGTTATCATGAACGCTTCTTGTATGCGCGGCAGCAGCTGTTCCATTTTCTAGAGGCGGTGTAGCTTCTAGCTATGTACGATTGCTACATGCCAAAACTACAGCACTGATTTCAGAATGGCGACTGTCTTCGCGTAAAGTGAGCTCGTTTCTTATTTGCTTGTGGCTTCGTGCAATTGACGTGTGTACGCGGGATCTCCTATGCGACCGTGACACGGAGCTCACCGAGAATGATAATTGACAATCCGGATCAGTTCAAGGCGTGGCTCACCGCTGTGCTGGAGCCGCTGTAAGTAGGCCAAATCTACCCCTCTGAGAGAGTGCACCTCTACGCGTATGTGTATACGCATTTGGTGTCGTAAATGGCCGTACATGTGGTGCGTGTATTCCCTGTGTGGCATGGTATTTATACGGGATGCATTGGCAACTGTCCTTTCTCCCTTTTCTCGGATGATCCTCACGACGACGGTCTTTGCATCTATCTTTGTCTGGGAAATAACCATCTTTTACATACCTTCTATTTTTTTTTTCCATTTTTTTTTTATTGATTTGTCAATCAGTTGCAAATATTAAATTTTGGCTTTGTGTTATATTACTAATTGTTTGTCCTTTGTTTAATATATTACATATAGCAATAGTAACATATAGCAATAGTACGCATTGTCGTATTAAGTAAATTTCTGCTCTTAACAACCAACAGTTATTGTACAATGATTAAAATGATCAGAAAATTATTTTTCAAACGCCGATATCTTTCAGTATTCCTCTAATAGATATTGAATGTCTTGAATGTTTACTTTAATATCCAATTTTAATTTTCAATAAATAGATTGTGTGTGTGTGTGTAAATAAATATGGTATTGTAATTTTTCGTTTAATTATCTCGTTTGTTTTATATAATTATTTAAAGAAAAAGTATACTTTTTTTTGCCTAAAGATTATACAAACGATATAATTTATTGTTTGTATTGTTCTTGTATCAAATCTTATAAAGTGTTTATTTTAAATGTTCCATTTGTATTACAAGCATTATAGTTGATACTAATAAATAAAATTATATATTTTTTATATTTATTTTATTAAAGATCCTAAATTTTTTTATTTAGAAT